TTGTAAACAAAAGTTGTGGACTTGTAAAAAAAAGTGTTGTAGGCTACTTGTAAAAAAAGTTGTGTACTTGTAAAACCTATGCTGAATTTGTCTCTGAAACATGATTTATTAGAAAAATTGTATGTGTTTGTTTGATAGCAGAGGTCGCGTTAACCGAATATTTGCCGTCTATGACAGATTTTATTTAACAATGACGGACAAATCTGAAAGCAGTCCGTCATTTTGACAGATTAGAACAAACTCGGAACAGCGCCAAAGTTTCCCCGCAGCGAGGCTCCGGTGTTATGCTGTGTTATGCATGCCCTCCAAAAAGGAAATTATACCGTTTCCAAACCTAACTGTGCCGTACAAATCATTGAAATGTCTGTGAGTTTTGGCTTTACGCTGTGCACGCTCCCGCGAGGTGCAGCAGCCATGCATAACACGGCGCATGTGAACTGTCCCCTCCCGTTGAAAGTTCACGAGCATGCTCCCCCCCCTCGTCAGAGTTGTGTAAAGGCCGACGGGTAATTCTGGATCCTGTCCGTCAAAATGACGGGCAGCGAACCTCTGTTTGATAGATACGTTTTTTCTTTGCAAAACTAAATGCATTAGTTTGTAGATGGTGTTTTGTATTTGCAAACCACATTGTGTTTGTTAGTGAATCATGAGGCATTTGTAAAACCTGTTTGTTTGTGGAGTTATGGCAGGAAATTAGCTCCATACTTTCCGAACTGGAAAATGCGACAGAACATGCGACAACGGTAGCACCTATTTTACACACCTGAGTCTCAAGTGTACCATTTTGCTTTAGGCATTGCATTCAACAGTAAATGTCAAATTATATACTAATTTAGAAATGGCCCATTTTAATACTTACTCTCTTCTGAAATATATTAATTATTGTATTTTTAAATGAAAGCGCACGATACATTTTTTTTAAATAATCTTTGGCGTAATCAGTTTATATATTTATAATTATAGTTACCACATTCAACATTTTACAGCTGTTCTGTGTAAAGACTTTTATATAATGTTTAAATGGTTGACACATATTTTTTAAATTAACATTTCTGTTAAAGCTGAGATGGAAGAACAGACCAATTACCCAAAGTAAAAAAAGATATAAGTTTGCATCTTCTTGGTTTTTCCTTATTTATTTGCAATCTTGAATTCAATTGAATGAGTAAAGTATTGTTGTTGGCCAACTAAACTTGAACGACACAAGTAATTGTTTATTAATACAAATTGAATAAATACACTTAATATTCAAAGGTTTTCAAAACTTTTAGTTAAAAAAATGAATGCTCATTATTTACAGTGTTACTGTAACGCCGTTATTTTTTGGCAGTAACTAGTAGGCCTACTATAACGCATTACTTTTTAAATGCAGTAACCCAGTTACCGTTACTACATGGTGCGTTACTCCGTTAGTTTTTTTATATAGTCAACAGCCAGGCGAACAGATATGAGAACTGTACTTAAGTATAGTACTTGAGTAAATGTACTTAGATACTTCCTGTGTCACATGCGGAGACGGGCTGTGGGCGTGTTTGTGTTGTTTACTAACAAGACTATCATGGCGGCGGCGGAGCTCAAGTCTAGTTTCTCCACCTGGAGATATTCTCACTATTTCACTTTTGTCGAGCACTAAGAAAAGAACGTTTTAGTTAAATGTAAGTTGTGTCTTGGCGGGTCAAATATCCTATCTACTGCCCAAACCAGTCATTCAAATCTCTTAAAACATCTGCAAAAACAACATGCTGGGACGAAGCTAGTAGCTAGACTCAGCCGACGCCACTCCACCTCCACCTAAGCAACAGCGGCTGGATTTTAACCGAGGGACTGCTAGCCAGGGAAAAGTCGATAAAGCCATTGCACGGTATGTTGTAGAACACATGCAGGCTATTGCTACAGTGGAGTCACCCGCTTTCAGGGAGCTAGTTAGCATGATAGCATGTCCGGGCGGCACACGGCATATGGAACGGAACACTTTTTCCAACTACCTGGAGAAAGAATATACAAAAATGGAAAGCCAGCTAATATCGATGCAATCCAGATTGCATAAAATGCATGTCAAGTTGATCAACAGATTGTATTATTCTCCAATGCAATAACAGTACTGAAATGAAGGCTAAAAAAAAAAAAGTAGGCAAACAAAAAAGTTACTTTTCACAGTAACGCATTACTTTTTGGTGTAAGTAATCAGTAGAGTAACTGAGTTACTTTTGAAATGAAGTAACTAGTAATGGTAACTAGTTACTGGTTTTCAGTAACTAGCACAACACTGATTATTTAACATTCAGGAGTTGAAATTATGACGAATATTTTACAAAAGGAATACCAGCAAGTTTTTACTCTAAATGCAACTTTGGTTTTTCATTCACAGGCTCACAAGCAGACCCCTTTCAATCACAACAAATAACCGTTATTTTATTATCCTTAACAACCTCTGACAACCTCTACACAGAACTTTTATCAAGTAAATAGGCTACCCCAGCACATTGATTTTTGTGAAAGAAAAAACACAGAAATGTCTGCTTCAACTGATCCAAAAGGCGAACTCGCATCACGTTTGGTGTCTTTCATTCATCTCTACAGTCAACACAGAGATGGCCTTCAGAAAGCCTCAGAGGGCTTAACACTGACAGCTGCTCAGGACCAGCACGAGGACTCTTCTGTGGTCGAAGTCCTCTGTGTGGTAACTGGAGGATTCCTTGGAGCAGGCTTTGGTGGTGTTACTGGTGGAGTTGGGGGAGCGTTTGGGGCAGTTGCTGCTTCAACTTGGGCCAGGATTTCCAACCACATTAACGCAGCGGAAGCAACAGTGGGCTTTGTCGGCAGTGTGTTAGGTGGAGTCTTTGGGGGAGCGTTCAGCGGCGCTATCGGCGGTGCAGTCTGTGCTGGAGGTAAAGCGATTGGCAGTCCAGTTAAAGGGAAAGTCACAAAGGTAGTGTGGCTCACCTTAGGCCTTGCAACTGGTGGTGCGATCGGTGGTATCTTTGGTGGGAGAGTGGGTGCAGAAGGTGGGGCAGTTGGTGGTGCTTTTGGAGTGTTGTGTGCTACGGGCTTGGCAGGGAGTGCAGTTGGAGTCGTCAAATATTTGTGTTCTTCTTCAGAAGAGAAATCAACAAAAGCAGAACAGATGTTGCGGAAAACTGCACATTTCTGTGAGACTTTCAAACCGCTGGTGACCGAGCTGAATACCATAAAAAACATCAGCGAAGGAATGGCCTCCAGTGCCAGAGTGCAGGGTGTAGCCGAACAATCTGCCAAGACTCTGGCTTCTGTGAACCTGATACTGAAAGTCACGAATGGCTCTCTGCCCGTCACAGATCTGACACAGTTTGAAGAATGGGCGCAACATGGCAAGAGAATCACAGAGGAACTGGAGCAGATGAATGAGGAAGGGGGAAAAATGTTGGCTTCATTGAGGACATTTTGATGCTGTAAAACAAGAACCTGACAAACCTGGTAGACTGCTGTTTTACAAACCCTTCTTAATAACAATATAAGGAAAATAAAAGTTGTAAATATGTTTCCACCCACCACGGTAAATTCTATTCACACACCACTCACTGATTGTCTTTAATATTTTGCTATTTTCTTCACATGACGTTTAAACAACTTTATGGAAATCTTCTCCATTTTGTTCCTTTGTACTAATTAAGGGATGTTACATTAATCGGCCTAAAGATGTTATTAAAAAAAAGTATATTACACGTGTTGCAGATAATGTTTGATTACAAATGATGATGTTTAACTATAATAAAAGTTACTGTTCAAGTTTTCATTAAATGACTTTTGTCTAATGTGTCTACAGGAGCCCATAGTTACGGTGGCCGGCAGGTGCAAACGCGGAACAACGGCCTAAAACGCATACATAAGCAGAAAACACCTGCAAATAATGAAATGAAAAACAAACAAACCCTGAAAACAAATACAACAGAAAAACGCTGCATTTACAGAAATGTTGCAAACTAAATACAACACACAAACCCCGAAAACAAACGCAACAAAAAAACGCTGCAAATACCAAAATGATATGCAAAGTCCAAAGCACGTACAAATCCCAAAACATACAAAAAAAACATTCCGGAAGTGCTCCAGGCCTCTAGGGGGCGCGCTACGTGGAACAGATTGATGTCTGACCAGACATAGAGAGAACAAACAAGAGTGATGGAAATCGAGAGGAAAGAAAGTTCATTTAAGTGGAGAAAGATATAAGAAGGTAAGTTTTGTTTTGATACATAGAGCGTCATATTTATATAGCTAGAGCGTTAGCGTGCCTAACTGCTACACCCAGCTGAGGAGAGCTTCACGTGAAGAGAAGATAAAGTGAGGGAAGAACATTGTTAAAAGAGATGACAAATCAAGTGCAGGCAAATAACACGGGCCATAGTGAGTACCCGCGGAAAAAAAGGACATTTGAATTCTTAGCAGTTGTTTATATGTATATATTTGTGTATAGATGTTGCAACTATACAGAAGCTTTAGGCAATTACCTGTAACTATGGTCATGCTAATAAAGCTATTGAATTAGAGGAGAGAGAGAGAGAGAGAGATAGAGAGAGAGAGATAGATAGGAGAGAGAGAGAGAGAGAGAGAGATAGAGATAGAGAGAGTAGAGAGATAGAGAGAGAGAGGAGATAGAGAGAGCGGGACTTGAGAGAGAGAGAGAGAGAAGAGATGAACAACAACATGTGAAGAGGGACCAAAGTAATGACAGGAGAGTAGTGTGCATTAGGACATGCTCAAGAACAAATATAGAGACATTCAAGGAGAGAGGAGAACACAGATTTCAACGGTAAACATGATGTATCTTTCTATTTATTTAGCTAACCACTATTTAGACTATGTGTTTTTTGATTAACTTGATTAAATGGATTTACTACATCAATGTATGTCTTTTCAGGCCGCCATGTTTTTGTCCTTTCTGTGGCCAGCATCTGGGACAGTTCAAGTGTTCTGTGGCTCCTGTGGCAAACATGTACAGTTTTTGGCAGAAGTTGAACACAACAGTAAGTTCACTTTTTTTATTGTATCTGTTTCAAATGCAAGAAATAAGGATTCAACACACTACTCTGTTTAGAATACTAATTGGCAGATACACTAGTTATCAGCATGAAGGACACATTTTTTCATTGTCTGTTTATGTGAAATATGTAGAAGCCATCATTAAATTGTAGACCAATGCATGATTAAATACACAAAACAGCTTATATTATACATTCATAATTGTGTATTAGTTCTATCTTTATAGAGAACATTATACATTTAGAATCAGATTTTGAGACAGTGAGCGGCTGGGAAAGTCACACCGCCATGGGGCACAAACAGTTGCTGACGTGATGTTTTCTTCATTCTCAGGCATTCCATAAGGAGGGTCAGGAACTCACGCTTGGGACCACCATTGTCCCCTCCATCCTCAGTGTGTCCCTCATCATCAGTGAACTTAACTGACATCTCATGAGAGGGATCGAATGAGGCACCTTTGAAGCCACGGATTGCTCCATCGCACACATTGGCTCTATTAATATTGAACCTGCTGCAAGATGTATTTGTTATTTTTGCAGAGAGTTCTGCAACAATGTGTGCCGCAGTCAGGTATTCTGTGCTGGGAAAGACAAAGTGATGTATTGTAATATTAAATGATGAAGCTAGTAATAAGATTTACAGAATAGAATAGACAAATTAAGTGGTAATAGTAACAATTAATACCTTTGCTCCATTGTGTCTTCTGGCTCAGACTGGCTATCAATAATGATAAGTGCATACACATTTGTGTGGTTGCTGCAGTGAGAAGACAGTTGAATAATTACTTTCAAATACCTAATATATGCATGACAGTCATATTTACAAAAGGATGTCGATCCTCTTCCTGTTTTTTCAATACATTGCGTTCTAAACTGACAACAGCACTTTTGTCATACTCCTGCACAATCCTTGTAAACATTTGAAATGGATGCAACAAAAAATATCTGATCTTTGAAAAATATTTGTGGGTGTTTTTTGTATTGTCTTCACTAAGATGTCAGATATTGTGGGTGTCATTTGGAAATGTATAAAAGTATAATTGTTCTGCTTCCTGGCAATGTTACCCACTGTGATTGGAGGCTATACAAACAAACAAATGTAAAATAAAGATACACAGCAAACAACTGTGTTACGATGCAACTGTCAACCTCGTTTATATAGAAGTGGTTCTGACCCGGGGCAGACTGGACCTCTTCCTGGGGTTGGTGCTCCATCCTATTTTTACCCAGAAAATAAGTGCACACAAAGGTATTTATTGATTTCATGTTCACAAATTCAAACCTACATGGTATAATTACATTTGTAATTAGTCTTACCCGATCAGACGCTGGTTGTGGGTGCCTGAGAGGTCTGATAAAGGTTAACAACAAATATATTCAAACTACTGTACTGTTAAAACATTCTGCTTCTTGTGGCACAAAATAATATGTTGACAATGTTTTATTTTACCCTGCAAACTGTTGTCCATTCGTGGAGTGCTCACTTTTGGAACATTTGGAATGTCCCACACCTGCATACAAATTCACTTTAATTAAGAATAAATGCCACGATAAATCCAAACTGACCAAGGTACATTATATTGTTGACCGTCCTTTAACTCTCACATTAGGATTTACATTGAAGCACAATAAACCAACTCCTCTCTGCACCTATAATATATCTATATGATGTCAAGAGTTACATTTAGGTGCACAGACAGTGCTGTCTCTTGACTTGCAAGCTCTTTCACCAAACAAGCTAACGCTAGCTGGGTAAATATGACGCTCTTTGTATCAAAACAAAACTTACCTTTTATATATCGTCTTTTTCCACTTCGATCAACTTCGTTTCCTCCGGCTTCAATTTGCAGCACTCTTGTTCGTTCCCTCTATGTCTGGTCAGACATCAATCTGTTCCACGTAGCGCGCCCCCTAGAGGCCTGGAACACTTCCGGAATGTTTTTTTTTTTGTATGTGTTTTGGGATTTGTATGTGCTTTGGACTTTGCATGTCGTTTTGGTATTTGCAGCGTTTTTTTTGTTGCGTTTGTTTTCGGGGTTTGTGTGTTGTATTTAGTTTGCATCATTTCTGTAAATGCAGCGTTTTTTGGTTGTATTTGTTTTCAGGATTTGTTTGTTTTTCATTTCAGGATTTGCAGCTGTTTCCTGCTAATGTATTTGTTTTTGGCCGTTGTTCCGCGTTTGCACCTGCCGGCCACTGTACATAGTGGCCGAAAAAAGGCTGACCTCGCGGCAGAAAGAAAGTGATAGAATATTATGCCAAAACCAGTCATATTCTAGTATGTTGAAAATATCAGAAAAAAAGTAATTGTATTTTGGAAAAAAGTCATCCTATAATAAGAGAAACATATCAGACAGTCTTAGTATAGAATGTTTAAAAATCGGAAAAAGCCGTATTATATAATAAATATTTACTATAAATCATATCATTTCAGTAAGTTGTAAAAAACAACAGCTACAAATATCTCAAATAAATGATGTCGTAAAAAAGTCACGAGATAGTAACGGTACGTCCACACGGCAGCGTGCGTTGAAGCTTGCCGGTGGGCGTGTCTGAAGCGCGACCAACAACCAATCACATTAATTTCCCGCCCCGGACACACAAGCACGCGGTTTGGCTGACGCTTCCGTCGAAGCTTCAAAAGTTGAACCTTTTTCAATTTTCGAAGCGAGCAACGGAGGCAAAGCGACGGAACCACAATGCAGTTCGGCAAAGCCTGACGCCACCCCATTCAAAGTGAATGGGAAGCTGCGTTGAAGCTTCAACGCACGCCGGCGTGTGGACGGGCCGTGAGTTATATTAATGTCATAGTATAGCATGTCATAACAAGGTTCAGTTCAATATGTTATAATAATATTATTTTATAGTAAAGTAATTCAATAAAATCATAACAATTCATAGTACAGCATGTCAAAAGATCATAAAGATTTCACAGTTTATAAATTCATAAAAATATAATAGTATAGTATGTAATCGAAGTTTCTTATGCTAAACTAAGATGGAAAACGATACACGTGAGCATTCAGCTAAAAGCACAGCTGTACACATAAAAGCTAGCATGGATGAAGGCATTACATCTTGTTCAATTTGATATATTTCCATAAAGGCCTAGAAATGATACGTCGTACACTGCACTAAGAAGAGAAAGACACTAAAGCAGTCACAGTAAAAAATGCTTTATTTGTTGAAATGCAGAAGCAAAGTAGAAGTTCATCATTCTTACACTTCAGTATTAAAAATAATTTAAATATATTACAAATCTTCAGCCTAAATCTTTCAGACCTCCTGCAGGACAGAGAGATGGATAGCAGTAATTAAGAATCTATTTAAAATTAAACCAATTAAAAAATCATGTCTGGAGCATTTTTAGGAAACCTATCAAAATGATTTATGAGTGGTCCGTCCGTCAAAGTTGATTTTAAATGCTTTTTGAAGATTTACTTCAAGCTGAGCAGGGTAATGAAGCACTCTCGTTACAAATCAGCCCCTTCTAACACGTAATCGTCCTAACAAGCTCGTATGACATCCAGTGTCATTAGCGTCAAGTGCAGCTAATATTCACCAACTTCAACATTAGATTATTCAAATCACAGATTCTACAGTCATCACTTTATTCAGAAAATGCCTCTCTGTGTGTGTGTGTGTGTGTGTGTGTGTGTGTGTGTGTGTGTGTGTGTGTGTGTGTGTGTGTGTGTGTGTGTGTGTGTGTGTGTGGTGTGTGTGTGTGTGTGTGTGTGTGTGTGAGGGAACAGCTTCACATGCATTATCAGTCACCTCTGCATTCCTCAACATGCATGAGGGAGAAAGACGGTTGCCCCGGTGAGTTAAACATCTGATATTTGTTGTGCTTTTCTACTTGAAGCTGTCAGTGTGTGCAGTGTTTTTTCAGAGCGAGATGTCTGAGGACACGTGGAGCTGTTGTCCTGGTTTCCACTTGGCACTGCGTCGGCCGGCGTCTGCCCGTCTGTACGGCTGGTTCCTTAAATCTGAGGGGGGGACCAAACAGAATCTCAGTGTGAGGTAAAAGAAGTGGAGTAAAGAGCACAATATTTACCTCTGAGATGTAGAGTTACAACAGTGCATCAAATGTACTCAAGTAGAACAATTGAATGTAAACGCAGTAAATGACATGAATAACATCTGGAAGAAGTACTCTTATCTTGTACTTTAGTAAACATGGAAATACCAGTTACAGTAAAGGTCCTGCATTGCAATTGTTTCTCCAGTTAAAATGCAAAAGTAGCCTACTAGCATCAAATATACATAAAGTACCAAAAGTAAAAGTAGTCGTTGTGCAGAATGGTCCATTTCAGAATAATATATATGATATGTTTTATAATGATTGATCATTAAAGTGTTCTCAAAGCTGGTAAAGGTGCAGCTAGTTTGAATGACTTTGTATACTGCAGGGTAGCTTGTGGATTTACTCCAGGTGGAACTAAAGTCTGATTTAACACTTGATTATATTTCACATCATTCATCCAGATCTGTAAAGTAACTAAAGGTATTCAATAAATGTAGTGGAGTACACAATTTACCTCTGAATTGTAGTGGGGTAGAAGTATGAAGTAGTAAAAAATCTAAATTGTATACAATTGTAATTAAGTACAGTAGGCTACTTGAGTAAATGTACTTACTGTAGTTAATTTACACCACTAGTTACTTTACCCCACTGGTCATTTATGACACCCAGAGCCAACGCTTGTGTATCTTTGGTCTTGAATTTATTGGGTTGCCAAGTTTTGTAACAGCAATTACTTTTTGAAAGGACCAGACAAATATTTGTAGTAGTAGAGGCCATGTCTTGTTTTATGATACATTTCCTGAGGTGGTTTTTTGTCCTTCAAAGAAATGTGTAAAGTAAATCAACATCAGGGGTACTAAAATACATTATATTTATGAATAACCATGTTTCAGTCTCAGCCTTAAATATTGACATTAACAGAGCCAGTGAGCCTTTTCAATAACCCCTAAAAGTGTTTTACAGATATTGTAGGTAAAAATATCTTTAAGAATTAAGTTGTAACATTATGCTGTCATATTACAAGATCATGATTTTACAAGAAAGGTCCAATTCTATGATATAAAGTTACATTTTTGCTAGAGAACCATTGCAATATTCTGAAGTAGGGATGGGTTAACCCCAAGCCCAATATGGATTCTTGGATTTTAAAGAATAAAGTTGAAGAAAAGTCACAATAATGAAGTTGTCATCGTAGTGCATTTATGATATTTCCCCGTAAAACATACAGATATACATTAAGAGTCTGTGAAAGGTGCAGTGAGAGATAAACAGCTGCTCATTCAACCTCACAGTAAACAGAGTGGAAGAGAGACAGAGCAGCGAGGGATTTAAGAAGTCACCTCGTCGCTGAACACCGAGTCGCAGAAGAGACGGGACGAGCGTTTGGCAGAGCGCGCCGTGAAGGGCACGGACTTTAGAGCTGAAGACCAGAGAACCCACAGGGAAGGAGGAGAGGAGAAGAGGCAAGGACAAATACAAGTGAGGTAAGCATAAAGGAAGGAGTGAAGGATACAGAGAACACAGGTTGTGTTTAGTTATGCAGTAGTGAAGCCAACCAAGGTATTACTTAGAAACAAGTCACTAAGCTATAAGATCCCCTTTGAAGAAACTTTAACATACTGGAAAACATTTCTCTTTTCCAAGAAGATTGATATCATGTCCATTTCATTCAGTGCTGGAAGTCAGTATGTGGTTAGCCTAGCTTAGCATACACACTGGAAGCAGAGGAACACAGTTGGTGGTCTCTGTGAAGGAGTGAAACGATGCAACCAGGACTGCTTTGCCCTGGTCCCCAAGAAAAGAGTCACTCAGATTTTGGATTATTGCAACCAAACAAGAACTTTAGCAAACAAATGTTTATATACTTACACATTTTGTTAAGCATGAGAATGTTACCCTAATGAACACATTTATGATTTTGACAGCGTAAATGCAATCGCCAGAAGTAAAAGCCAACATTAGGCCATAATTAAGCTACACCATGGTGGCATGTCCGCACGACACCACCACTACGGCTTCAGCTTTTAATTTGTGTTATTGCACTGACCCCTTCTAAGAATAACGCCTTGGAATGTGTTTGAGTTAGAATAGTTGATAACTCAGGTTGTAAAGGTCAATAAATAATAAAGGTCAGTAAATCGTTTGGAGTGATGATGTTCAGTAGCCTCATTTAGCCACTATTCAGCAACAGTTTTGTTATAAAGACAAAGGACAAGTGCTCTATTTATTTTAGCTGGTATTTTAAGTAGATTGGTTTAGTTTTATTTCTTTCATTATCTTCAACTCCAAAGCTAAACAATTACATGTTTAATCTTTAAACAAACAAAAATGTAAAAAACGTTTTGAGTTTAATGGAGATCCATTTTGTCTTTACATTTCTGTTAGTGTTTAGTTTAAACAACATAGTGTTAATCAATGAGCTTTAGAGGAATTGTATTTCTTCAATCTAATTAAGGCTGACTGTTTTACCTGCCTCCCGTGCTAATTCTAAGCTAGGCTAACCACGTCCTGGAGCTAAAGTGTATTTCCCAAAATGTTTGTTTGATTCATTTCAGTCAGAGAACCAGAGGGATAGTGATTGAAATCCTCTTGTGTACAGTGTATTCTTGTGTTACAGCCGGTGTGTGTGTGTGTGTGTGTGTGTACCTGTGATGATGTCCTCTATGGCCCCGTCCTTCCCCTCCCTCACCAGAGGAGACACCTGCCTCTTCTTCAGCTCTGCTATCAGGTCCATCTGCGGCAGTTTGGACGCCATTG